ATAAATATCAATATAATCTCTTGTTTTTATTAATTACTTATTAATGGGCATCTTTTGTTGAATATCAAAAAAAAAAAACACGTTAACTATAATTTTTAATGATGCACGTAGTAGATAAGATAAATAAAATTCATCTTAAACGACTCATTAGAGACATGACGAAAGTAATCAATGAGTTCCAAGGGAGTTCAATATCTTTTTTTTTCTTCTATACAAGTACACATTCATTAACTGTCATGTTGAATTAAAGAATTAAAAAAAAATTCCGTCTATTTAAAAAGATATTATTAATAAGAAATCTCGTGTAAAATGTCATTGATAATTTGTCATCAACATTTCTTTTTTGATATATATTATTTCCTATTGACTCTACTATATCATATTGAGTATTAGTTTGATTAAATCTTAAATATACATTTTTCTTTTTCGTTCAAATATATATTCAAATATTGATAGACTACCATTTACAAAGAGAATTTTCAAAATACATAATTATACAATGTGCAAACAAACAAGCATTCTCTGTAAGTTAATGTTCGATGAATATTAAAATATATTTCATTTCTTATTTAATGTTGATACTAATTCACATGCTTCGATAGTATCACTAATAGAAGTCCAATTTCCAGAAATATCATGAGATGGTGTTATTAAATAATTTCGATTCATATGATGATTGTTGTTATGATTAATATTATTATTATTATTATTAAGAGTTCTATTATGATGTGTTGATAATTGTCTTTGTGAATTATTTCTATTTGTATTTCGACATAAAATAAATGGAAAACATTGTAATAATCGATAAAATTCTTCTCGAAAACGTTTATTTGTTAATATATTTAGAAAAAATGTTGACATAAAATAACATTGTTGTAATAAATCTAAACTTTTTTGTGTAAAAGCTATTGAACAAAATTCATTTTCATTTTCATGTTTATGATCTAATTCATTATGTAAATGTCCAATATATACAGTAAATATATTATGTGGTGTAGTAAATAATATATATACACAATTAAGTGATATAAGTAATATTGATAAATGTAATTCTATTCGACGACGAGAATTTTTTAAATGTATATTATGAAAATTTGTAGATGTATATTTTATTGATACATATCTTAATATAATTATTGTTGCAATAAAACTTATTAAAAAAGGTAAAATTCCAAATAAAATCAATTCAATCATTGGTAATATTGATGTTAAATATCTACCATAAAATGATCGAGAACCATTTTTATCTGCAATTGTACACATTGTTATATTTGTTGTATCATTTAAATTTATAAATTGTTGTTGTGTATAACCATATGATGTTAACCAATGTAAATGAAAAAAAAATAAAATTAAAGCAAATAATAATTCAATTATACAAACATGAATAAATGCTTTTCCACAACCATATTGTCGACTATTATTTTTATAATTATAATGTTGATGTACACTTGTTTTTGATATTACTGTACGACAACGATCTAAATCAACAGCTGTTAATGTTAATAATGAAAAATGTGTTAAAAAATCAATTAAAAATCGATTTAATAATCGACAAAATATAAATAATGAAAGATTTTCTAATGTTAAACCAAAATAAACACCAATAATAGTAAAAAAAGCATGAATTAAAGATAAAAATGCATTTGATAAACTAAGAAAAGCAACATATGAAAATGTTGGTCGACGACGTAAACGTGGTTGTATAAGAACAATAAATGAACATAAATTTGCTATAAAACCAAATATTAATAAAAATATTGGTTGAATTTTCATTATTAACATTAATATATCAGATTCACAACGTCTTGTTTCATAATCTATTGCACTATGTGATGATGTAGAATCTAATGTAATAATATTTGTACTATTATAATATTTCATTATGAAAGTCGAATTGATCTATGAAATACGTATAAGAAATAGAGAGAATCCAAAAGAAGAATAATCTTAAGGAAATAATGCTTTATATTCATACAAAAATATTATAGAGAAATATATTGAATAATAATGAATAGGCAAAGATTACTAATTAAATCATCAAAATTCATAATGACAATACTCAAGAAGATATTTTTAAATATAATTCCTATGTTCTCTATACTTAATTGGTCTATCTAATAAATAACATCTATTATCGTATTACATCTTGTAGATCATTTCTTTAAAAAAATTCTCATAATAAGCACGTCTATTAGTATTTCATATTTTCTAGATGTAAAATTGAGTTTATTTTATTCTAGGGTGATGAATTATGAAAATATAGAATATTTTGATATAATAAATAAGATCCAGAATGAAAAAATATTTCCGAGGTATATTCAAAAATTATTATAGACAAAGAAAAATTTCATGATATATGTAAATTATGTTTGGTTAGGTGGAAAAAGGAAAATATGACCTTATACTTTTATAAATTTATTCATAAAGTGTTTTGAATAGAAACAAAACTAATTGGAAAGAAAAAATTTTTTATTCATGCAAGAAATAAAATAGACCGTCGAGTACTTACTATCATCTAATTTCATGCGATTATATATTCTTCCTTTACCATAAAATTATACTTGACTACTACCTATTATATTTTTCTATATATTTTTTCCTGATGTAAATATACAATGGATAATGAAGTATATTAGAAAAGATTGTTGAACTGTTTTACACATTGAATAGATTTTTGATAATTTACAATCTGTCAAACACGGCACGTATATATTTTTAATGAAGAATTGTTAAGTATTATAAATGTTAATTCAATAGATTTTTTTCTTCTTAAACAAAATTTCAAGAGAATCTCTCATTTATTCTTTCTTTTTTCTTAAAACACACTCACTTCATTTTTTCCAGTTGACTATTAATGATAACAAAAAAAAAAAATCTGCTTTATTCATCACAGCTTACATTACCATTATTATAAAGTAAGATTACCAAATGAAAGACCTAGACATTGTCCGTTTATAATAGAAGTTGTGTCAACCGATGTCATTAGGTATTTTTTCTTATTTAACAGCTCAAGGTAATAATAATAGTAATAAATGATAAAAAAACTGAGAGACGGATTATTTTCTTTATTAAAAAAAAAAATTTATCTGATGACAATCAACTAAAATACGAGTATATTGATGTGCACTCAAATTAAAATAAAAGATCTAAGATCTATATTTGCTAAGGGACAAAAACGACAACGATAGAAAAAGGAAAAAAAAATAGTGTTATTACAGTGTGTCTTATAGGATACGTATTTATCTAGAGAAAAACTAGAGAGAAAAAAACAACACGCCAAATGTTCTCTGGTTAGCACTTATATTAAATGTAAAAGAGCAAAATTAGTCTCGACAACATTTTTTGGGCTGTGAGTGAACATCTGCTTAACTCTTTATAATCACATTTGTTAGACTTGGTATGACAAACTATCACATTCCATATGTTAATACACACAAATATTTTATGCTTATACATTTATGTTTTTTCCTAGATTGTGTGTAAGCATGATAATATGAAATTATCAAACGAATTAACATGATATTAAAAAAAATAAAGAACACATGAGAATTCAATACTTCGGTTAAAAAATAACAATACAACTCTCGCATGATTTTTTATCAGAGATTGTTTTGTTTTTCATGAAGAAAAAAAAACACAAAAATGAAAAGCTACTCATTGATCTATATGTCTATAAAAATGACAAATGTTACTTGTAATCTTTCGATAATGAATCAATAATCGTTTGTCTTTTTCATTGATTAAAAAGAAAAAAGACATAGAAACATGTCAAACGTTTTTTTATTCAAAACAAAAAAATAAATTCTTGATAATAACAATAAAATACTCTAGTCCAACATGCCCATTCAATGTGATTTGATCTTCAAAATAATTATCATTATTTGATCAAATTCATCAATTATTTCATCTAAAATAATCGTATTATTTAAAGAGTCATTTGAAGAAATATTAAATTCTAATAATTACTCCTTGGAAATATAAGATGTGAACCACTAGATGATAATAAGAATATTTATTATGTTTAAACATTAGACGAATTTCATGCATTGATTGGATTTTTTCTTTTTTTGCTCATACCTATAATCAATAATCTATGAAACTTACTACCATTTTGGATTGTCTAGTTTTTCTTTTTGTAAACGTCGTTCTATATATTGCACCAATAATACGAGCCAGACGAACAAAGAATTTCGTCTTCATTGTCATTGTCCGTCCTAACTCGCACGATCGAGCGCAATTTGAGACAAATAAATAATTGACTGAATCGTTTTGAAAAAAAAAAGTTGCTTTTATATACTCATAAGAGAAAGAATAAGAAGAAGAAAAAAAACGAATAGTGCACACATACACACGGACGCACATATATATATATATATATATATATTTATATTTATATTCGTTTGCCTATCTTTAAGCCAACATTGATGGTGAGAATGGTATCTTAAGCCAACAATCACAGGCAATTTGTGAGTAACGATGGGAATGATAGTCAGATGGAATATACACCAGTAATGCTATCTCTTATTTTATCGATCAAACAAGAAGAGAGCAATGATAAACTTCATGTTGTTCACACCATATCATATCGAATGAGCAAGCACAAACTAAATGATTAGTCTTTTCTTTTTTTTTTTTTCGTTCACTTACTTACTTTCTCTCTCTTTCTCTTACTTTCTATTTAACCTTCGTAATGTTGCTTGAATACTTTTTTTTTTGTATAATGTTTGTTCAAAGATCGAATTCAGTATAGTAAGCAAGCCTTTAGTCAACAAATAGAATAAAAGAAGGATTACAAGAGTCACCTGTTTATCACTAAAGATAAAAGATAATTTACGAAATAAATTAGTTCTATATAGATACTTGTGCAAATATATATAGATATATATCAACATGATGATTAGTGAAAGGTTTTAAGCAAGTATTTAAAAAAAAAATCAATTAACACAAAGAGAAAAAAAATATATATATATATATAACTTAAATATACCAATTTTCTTTCAATTAATATTCGCTGGTAAAAGAACATGGTGCATATAATGAGAACCATAAGGTTGTCTTGTATTAGGATTGCGTTTTGTTGTTGTTGTTGTTGCATATATATTTGTATGATTAGTTCCTCCTGATTGTCCCTCGAGCATAACAGCAGGTGAAGCTAGATTACGTTTTGTTGTTAAAATATTTGCAGAACGTGAACGAGGAAATACAGTAGGTGATGATTTTAATATTGAATCTGTTGTTGGATGAGCATAAGCATATTTAATTGTTGATGATAATGGTCGATTTGTAGATGAAGTTAAACGAGAATGAACAGGTGATGAATTTAAACGTGATGAAACCTGTGGTGATTTTGAAGTTGTTGCTGTTGTATTTGTAACAACTAATGTTGGACAAGTATTTGCAGTTGGTGTTGCTGGTTGTGAACATTGAAAAGCAATTGTTGATGGTTTTAAAACTGCTCGTGATGATGATGATGATGATGTTAATAAACTATTTGATAAAGCAGTTGTTGCTGCTGTACGAATAGGTGTAATTGAAACATTATCATGATTACGTATTGATGAATGAGTTACAGTTATTGGTACAGTAGCTGAACGACTACGTCTTATACGTGTATGTCCAGTAGAAGATTGATCATGAGAAGATTGATTTGATGGATTAAAATTTGTTGATAACATCGATGTATATGTAGAAGCTGACTCAGATAATGGTACATATGTAAATGGAAGAGTTCGATAATGTTCGGCATCAGGTACAACTGCTGAACGATATGAATATTTTTTTTCTTCTGTATTATCAGAAGTGACTTGTTGACTATTAGATGAATTTTTAATTATTCGTTCATCATGTGTATTTACAATAACTAATGGTGAATTCAAATTTGTATGATGTTCATCTGTCGATTTAGTTGTTTTAGTTCGTATAATCCAATCTGGTAATCGAGTTGATGTTGTACTATTTGTTGAAGAATATAAAGCATTACTTAAACGCTGAGCATTTAATTTTTGTGTTGCAGCATTTGTTGAATTAAAAGGTGGAAGAATTTGTGAAGAAGAAAATGGTGAAATAAGAGATGATGATGGTGTTACATCAGTATATGTCCATGAACGATATGTATCACAATTCGAATTACGCATTGTATCATGTAATGGTACTTCATGTACAATAGGAACATCATTAAATGAAACATTTTTACGTTGAGATGGATCACGTGGACGTTTAGCTGATAAAGGTCGATAAGGAGCTACATGATCAGATAATACATTGGTAACTAGATCATCGGAAGTCTTTGTATGTGATTGATCTTGTATATTTGACATAATAATTTACATTATAGAATAAATTAATTATTAATGTAAATTGATGTAATAGCGATAAGAAAATTTCAGGTCTTCGTCTTTTTTTCTTTTTCGTTTTTCTTTTTTCTACTATTATAACAAAATTGGCATCATCATTCGTTTACATTCGATTTTTCGTCGTATGTTGCATGTTCTTCTAAACGAAAGCGTCAAAACAACAACGACATATGATGCTTACACAAGTAAATTGAAATCCAAAAAAAGAAAAAGAGAAGAATAAATTTATGGTCATAAATCGATTTCTTTTCTTCTTCTTTTCCTTTTACGCGTATACTTTCTATATTATTCCTCTGATAGATGTACAGTATTCTAAATTACAAAAGAAAAAAAAAAAAAGAAACGAACCGAAATATTTATAAATTTTCACATCTCAATTTTGATATATTTCTATCTAATATTATATTAAAAAGATTGACAAAGTTACGGACATATATATACATATATACATAAGAGAAAAAGGTAAATGATCGATGTTTACTTTTGAACGTACAACATCATTCAAACAACAAGCTTTTTTTTTGACATTGCTTCCTTTTTTTTTTTTTCTATTTCAATGCCTCGTCTCGTTTTTTTCAATGCACGACGACGACGCCAGCAGCTAGCATCACTCAAACACTGTAAGGTGATGATGAGGTTGATGAAAAATAAAAAAAAAAAAAAGAGAATTGTGTCTGAGTTTACGCCCGTCGTTGCTACTACTGTTATTCTTTAAGAAAAAAATTTGAATACAAAAATAATAACAAAAAAAAACAGAACAAATGACAGTAGTAATGACGGATGAATACAATATGAGTGTGGAAATATTAATTAAATATTAGCACAGCAAACGAGTTTGAAATCGAGAGTATGGCATACTTTATGACTTGTTTTTTTATTGTTTCTTATTGTGTTAAGAAAAGAAAAAAAAAAAAGTTATAATAGTATCCAATGTCATAATTTGTTATAAGTAATAAATAAGTAGATAACACTATGTTTACCAATTGGATTTTCTTCTTCAAGTTCTCTATGTCAAAATGTCTTTTTTTTTCTTTGCATTGATAAAATTGAAAATTTTCTTTCTCGATTGTTATTTTAAAATATAAAATCAATTAGATATGATTTCATTTTTAAAAGCATATAAATCATTGTTTTTTTTTCTAGAAGTAAGGTACCGGAAACGGAACTTCTTTTCAAAGTTTCTTTTCTTTTTTTACGGAGTTAAAAGTATCATTCGAATAAAGTAATCAGTTTTCTCTAAATAATAAAAATGACAAACTACCATCTAAATAATGCCAATAGCATAGAAAGTTCTTACTTTTCAGTACAAATGATAATATTGTTGAACTTTAATCAATTCAAAATCTATCGATGAACCTACATTATTTTAGTTTATAGTAATTAAAGAGAAACAATTCTCATATGGATATTTGCCACTTGAATATTTTTATCTGTCATATATATATATAAAACAACATTTATTTTTTGATATTAATCGTTTATCAAGTCAAATAAATAATAAAAATCATAAATGATCGGTAATTATCAAAGAATCGAATATGTCTTGAGTATTTTGCTATCTTTTAATCACGTCTTCGAAAACAATATTAAGATCGAATTAATGTCATTGGAGAGATCGAATGCAATGTCAAAAATATCAATGGACAGAATCGTTTATTTAACCATCAAGGAGCGTCATCTATGTATTTTGAAGATGAATGGTGAATGAACCTTTTTTTTTTCTTCTTCTTTTTCCTTCCAGATACACCTACTAGCGTAGGAGAGGAACATGGGCGAAACAGTCATATTTCATGCAACAATCACTTCTTTTTTATTATTACATTCCTTTTCAGTTTACCTACATTTTTCAAATTTATTTGCTTACCTTGCTGAATTCTTCAAGTGAGTACGTACAAAAAAATAATAAACAATTTCTGTTGTCTAAATGCTTGTGCCTTTCTATTCATGTTTTATCCTCTATATATAGTAAAGACTTTCTTTCGTTTACTTTATTCAAACAAATAAGTATCAATTGTCTAATCTTACTTCCGTATTTTTATTTATATTTCTTGAGAAATACAATTTCAAAGTGTATTTTTATATTAAACCATGAGAGATGGATATTAACCTTCGCTCAGAACTAGTCATGTGTAAATAGGGCAAAAAAAGATATAGTCGTCATTGTAATTTTATCATGTGCTTTGAAGTTGCATGTCTAAATAAGATTATCATTAGGTTTTTTTTAATAGAAAGATTGACATAAATTATATAATTAGAAGTAACCAACCACATCAATCTTGCATTTGATAATCAGTACGTGTGTTTTTTCGTACAACTACAGATTGAATAAACATGAACTTGAGTTTTCTTCTTTGTATTCCATCATTCAAAATGATTATTAGAACAGTTTCTTTCTTCACTTTAGATAATAACAATGGAACAATCTTCATTAATCGATACAATGCTCGATCATCGCAATGATTTAAGTGACGTAAATAGTGTTGATTCGTATGTATGATTGAATAGAATGATATACGTCATTTAAAGATCAATATTGTCTTTTAGAACATTTAGTATTGATAGTGGAGTTATGGCAACACCAGAAATATTTGAACATGATTTACGATCAATAACAACAGAAAAATTATTTAATGAATTACAACGTGTAAAAGATGATCTTCAATCAAAAGATAGTGAAATTCGTCGAGCAAATGAAATGTGTGAAAATACAAATCGAGAAATTGAAGATTTAACAGCATCATTATTCGAAGTAATGAAATTTATTTTTTTTTATAATATTTTAAAAATATTAAAGTTAATTCATTAGACTGCACATTCAATGGTTGAAGAAGCAAAACATGCTCAAGCAAATGCTGAACAAAAATTAAAAATTTCAAATCAAACAGTAAATAAAAAAAAAAAGAAGCTGATTTCTTATTATATAGAAAAAAATTCTTTACTTTAGATCGATGCACTTAGTCTTGAAAATAGTCAATTAAAAAAAACTGTTAATGAATTAAAACAAATTTTAAATACATGTCGTTCATCATTTAATATGTCAACGACTAATAGTAGTGTAAGTTGAATTGTTTATTTTTGAAAATGATAATTTATTAAATATATAAAAATAATTAATTGATATAGATTGATAATATTTTATTTCGTGAATTTACATGTTGGGAAGAAAAACCATCTATGGAACGAGATTCATCTCTATTTATGTATCGTATTTATAATGAAGATATTTCACCATGTTTAACATTTCCTAATGCTAATGTAAGACAAAAAGAAAATAGATTAAATTTATGTAATAAGAATTTCTTTTTTGTTGTTGATAGCTTTCATCTAGAATTTTAGCGGCTATTGAAAGAAATGATATAGTTATGGAAACATGTAATTCAAAAGGAAATATGAAGTATGTATTATTTAGATTAATTTTTGTGAAATTTTGAATTTTTTTTTTTTTTTTTTATAGAACTTGTTCATTAATGGGTGAATTTTGTCAATGTGATTATCATGTTCGATTAGGTGAAGATAGTCAATGGTGGCCATTATCACGTTTAGCACGTAATCGTGTAAGTAATTTTATTTTCTATTTTTTTTTTATTATTATTAGATTTCTATTGAAATAGATTGCAGCAGTTTGTGACTTTTTTACATTTATTCGTCATGTGCAATTAGGTCTTGTGAAAAGTGATGGTAAGAAAAAAAAATACAAAGAATATTTGATTTTTTTATAATATCTTTGAATAATCTTCATTTAGCTCAAACTCGCTTTAATAAAATAATTGAACTACGGAAACAAATGGCATTTGCACGTCTAGGATTATAATTATAATTATTGCATTTGTTGAGTGATGAGTATTAATTCTTTCAATCATATTTTATTTATTTTGTTTTTCTTTTTCTTTCGAATGAATTTTTCTTTTTTTTTGTGACAAAAGATTTTATCTTCCGATATTTTTATAATTTGTATATTTATTTTTCTGTTTAGGTAACTCTTTCTATTTTTTTTTGTATGTTTAAAACGCAAAAATAAGTTTAATTAAAAAAACAACTATCTAAGGTGACATAAGTACATAGAGATGTGTCATGACTTATGATGATAACGGGTAAAAAATATGTCGAGTCATTTGAAAAAACAAAGTGTAAAGAATGAAACACCTTGTTAATGTCGAATCATTTCGAAAAACAATTGAAATATTTGACATGCAATGTCTATAATGCAATAGTTAATTATTCATGTACATTTCATTATATTTAGAAAAAATTGTTATATTATTTTACTGTCAAAGTTTATACTTAAATGATGTTTGTAATTTGTTTATTAGACAGGTATTCTAATTTTCAAAAAGATTTATTCGCCAATGAGGGAAGGTTTCCAAGTGTGAATCACGGTTTCGAATGGAAGATATCCCAGATTGTAGAGTTCAATGAGCTGATTCCCGTGATATGGTTCGTTTTTCCCGATAGAACTTCACATGCAAAAGACTGATCGATTTTACTCGTGAATTTCTATGCTGTTCATAAGTTTCGAGACAGTTGTTAGAAATTTAAAACTTCAAAAGTACTTAATTTTTAGTTTTTTCTTGTACAAATTATTTTCATCGTTGCTATGAATTGTAGTTGTTGAATTATTACACTTGGAAGTATTTGAGCGCTTCTGAGAAAAAATGTTATTTTGTGTTCAAAAGATGAAGCTGAATCTACTCTTAAAACAATATAGAAGTAGATCATCGCAATTCACTAGCAAAAATCGATCAGTTTTTTGCATTTGAAGTTCCATCAGAAAAAACGAAGCACACCAAGAGAATCAGCTCATCGAGCTCCACAATCTGGGATATCTTCCATTCGAAATCGTGATTCACACTTGGGGTCCTTTCCTCGTATGTTAGGACTTCATAAAGATTACTATTAATTTTAGACATGTATATATGAAATAAATTTAGTGTATAAGTTTGAAGTAAATATTTCTTAGTGGATAA